ATATTAATAGATTAATAGAATAAAGACCAAATATTACCTGTTAAGATTTACCCAAAACGAATTATATCTTATGTTTATCCACTACAGAGACATCAGAGCCAGCGGCAAATGTCAGAAGGACTAGCCAAGTTGAGGCTGCTCTCGTCGGGATACATGAGCACTGAGCGCCAGCTGATCGTGTGGAGCTCCCGTCTTCGAAATCGGCGTAGCACATTTTCAAATAGGCGCTGTTTTTATAAATAAACCGCAGATTTGAGTTTTAAACAACTACATTCTCGCCTGAAATACTTTTAAAACTACATTTCATGACACAGTAACAGTAATATTAAAAAAATAATAATATGCAAATGGTGGTTGAAATACAATGCTGCGTGAACTCAACCAATCAGCATGTTCAGTGCTCAAGTCCCGCCCCCGAAAGTTCGGGACCTTTGAAAAAGTACTACCTTGCAAGCAGGGACTTTCTGAGGCGCAATTGTTTACCCGGAACTTTATTTAGATCCTGGTTCCTGTGGTGGAAACACACCGAGTACCGGCCCAAAGTCCCTAGTTCCTGAGGAAAGTTCCTGCAGTGGAAACGCGGCTTAAGGCACATAAGCATCGCCGGATGACCTTGATCATACAAAGCGGGGTACCCCTCGGGGAAAACCCCTTGGTCCTCAGCCACCACTGCACAGCCACACACTTGGTGAAAGTGTGGGGTGAGAGTGATATGCCGAAGGGAAGAACCCGATATTGGTATGGTGAATCGACACAGAGTACCTGCCCAAAGTCCCTAGTTCCTGAGGAAAGTTCCTGCAGTGGAAACGCGGCTTAAGGCACATAAGCATCGCCGGATGACCTTGATCATACAAAGCGGGGTACCCCTCGGTCCTCAGCCACCACTGCACAGCCACACACTTGGTGAAAGTGTGGGGTGAGAGTGATACGCCGAAGGGAAGAACCCGATATTGGTATGTTTCACCCCCGAAAGCAAACCTCAGGAACTTCCTGTGTTGAGGAAAGATGGATACGTGGAAGTATGCATCCTTGAGATCTATCGTGACTTGAGATCAGTCCTCGGACCTCATCTTAGACACAATCTGTTTGATAGTGAGCTTCTTGAAACGAAAGCGTTTGATAGCGCAGTTCAACAGATGCAGATCTATGGTCGGACACAACCCCCCATCCTTCTTCGAAACTATGAAGTATCAGCTGTAGAACCTGGACTACCCGGAGAGAGAGAGAGAGAGAGAGAGAGAGAAAGGAACATGTTATATTTCCTCCTTTCTCAAGAGGAGGACGAGAACCGAACTGGATTCTGTAGCCTTTCTCTACCACACAACGTCTGTAATGCTGTTTGCTCGCCATAGATATTAGTTTAGACTTTGACATATTCTTTTGAATGCTTGTGGACTGACAGACAACAGTAAATAGACTGACACATACACAGAGCGCTACTGAAGAGCAGAAGCTAACTTGCGCTCTGTCGGATGCGCTTTTATACTTCCTGGCGCTAACGTCACCCCGCTCGTGACGTCTCGCTGCTCCATTGGACTGATTTTACACGTGCTTCAGAACGCGGTCATGCAGGGGCGTTCCCAAAGCGAATCTCGACGCAGCTCGAGTTCCTGAAGGGGAACAGTGTGATTATTTGTGATTGACTGTTTCTTCAACTCCACCAAAGTAGTTGAGGCCTCGCACATTCTATAAGCAATGGCAACAGTTCGCGATAAAATCAGATTATGTCAGTGTTTCCTTTCCACCACATTACAGCTGTTGGTTGTTGCTGTTTATTGAGGCAGTGTGATCAAGCCTTTTGTATTCATAGGCTTGTATAAATATTAAAATATACAAATATTCATTTGAGATTTAAATTGCAGAATATCAAATTCATTATTAATTTAGATAACACTTTATTTTACAGTGTCCTTGTTACACGTTACATTTACTTTCCATCTTAATAACAATAAATTATGCTCAATTACATGCAACTAACCCTATACTAAACCCTCATCCTAACCCTAACCATATAGTAAATACATGTAGTTAACGATTATTACTCAGTACTTAAAGGGGTCATATGATGTTGCTAAAAAGAATCATATTTATGCAGAAATACAGAAAATTCTAAAGGGTTCACAAACTTTCAAGCGGCACTGTATATACAGCGGGTAAAATAAGTATAGATTTATAACCGTGTTGTAAATACAACTTAAACTTTATAGAAACATTATGTCCTCTTTTGGAAGGCCAAACAAAGTAGTTTCGCTTTCACAATGAAACACACAGCGGCTTGAGTGAGCGGTGCCAGGCGGGCTTGAGTGAGCGGAGGCTGGCGGATTCAACCAAGGAGGCTTGCAGCAACCACATGTGACGACCCCGGGCTGGACTCCGCTTCGTCCACGGTGAAAGCCGATCCGGCGATCCACAGGACAAAGTTGATGTATTTCCTCAGCGACCAGCACGGATCATATTCTCATGACGGGAATCCAGAGAGATGATACTAATCCATCTGATCTCTGTTAACACATCACCGGAGTCACACGGCTCTCAGAGGAGCGGATGCGTTCTGGTCAGACTCTCCGAACTCACCGCACTGTGCGGCGTTAAACCTGCAGGTGTGCACGATGTTTGGGGGCGTGGTGAGACCCTCAGTTTTTTTTTTTTAAATATATAATTAAATGTTTGAACAATTAAAAACGTTTCAGTGGCCAAAACCGTAAAATGACCAATTAGACATCAGGTACTGTTCACTTTTCTCTAACGCGTTTACAAAAGTAATAGCCACCTAATCTTTAAAGGGGTCATATGATGTTGCTAAAAAGAACATTATTTTGTGTATTTGGTGTACTGAAATGTGTTTATGCGGTTTAAGGTTCAAAAAACACATTATTTTACACATAATGTACATTATTGTTTCTCCTCTATGCCCCGCCTTCCTGAAGCGCGTCGATTTTTACAAAGCTCATCGTTCTGAAAAGCGAGGTGTGCTCTGATTGGCCAGCCATACAGTGTGTTGTGATTGGCTGAATACCGCTAGCGTGTGATGGAAATGTTACACCCCTTACCATACTGTGTCTCCGTGTGTCCCGGCGCAATGAGACAAAACCAATAAAACCCATTACGACGAAGCGGATCTCGTCCTCTTTTGGAAGGCCAAACAAAGTAGTTTCGCTTTCACAATGAAACACACAGCATCTCCACATCATGGCAGTGGCGGCAACAAAAATTCTACAGCGAGAATAAAAGTTACGCCTTTTTTCTTTGCGTGAACATTTGGGCGGTGTTATGCAAATCTTCCCACACAGTGACGTAGACATGTGGGGGCGTGTTTAAACGAGGCGTTTTAGGAGGGCGTTGACAAGTCTTAACTTTTATAAAGAATATCTCTTTGGATTTGAGACTTTAGTCTTTGCAACTTTACAGATCTTCTTTATGCACCAAGAGCTTGTAACACTCCAAAGAGAAAGGAAAAATTGAAATCGCATCATATGACCCCTTTAAATGGATAATTACACTGTAACAAGGACACCGTAAGTTAAAGTATAACTGTAATGTATTAATTCATTCAGTAATGTTTTGCTTAATATTATTGTATGGTTACTTTTTTTATTAAATGAATGTGTTTAAAAGGATTTCTTTTAATTAACACATTTAATGCATTTATCTAATTTACATTATAATTGTTTTGTTCTGTTCTACATGATTTCTAAAGACTCGTCAAAATAGTCTAAACCTTTGTGACAGCATAAGCGAATGAGAGAAATATATTAATTGTTAATGACATATTAATGTTACACCATAACAGCAATATTGTGTTTTTGATGTTTTCTACTTCTGGAGCTTTAATGATAATGAACAGCTTGTATTGAGCTTTATGACATATATTCAGTTTGAAGTAATTTAACTCGGTAGTTTCCTGTTGTGTGTGTTTTTAATGAGCCATAGTTGCCCCAATTCACGAAATGCCAGTGTGTCCGCAAGTGGATTTTTAAATTTGCACATTTTCAGTGACAAGTGAAGAAATGTTTTGAGCATTACTGTGTACAGCATCTTCGAAATCCTCAATGGAATATTACGTTTTCAAAGCTTTAATCCACCGAAGCCAATCTGAAAAAGCAGAGGCTGTTAAACATATGCCGAGACCATTTCATCCTTTCTCCTTACATAGAGGTCTGTAGTGGATATTTCACCACAGATCAGCTTGAAGCACAAATCACATTGAGTTGAAGGAGGCTAGTAAAGGGTGTCAAGTATCAGTGCTCTGAACAACTACACCCTTCGGTACAGTGTGTGGGAGAAAGAGAGACTGATATATCCATGATGCATCCAGATCTAAAAATAAGTCTAAAAGGAACCTCCTCTTTATTTTTTTTAAATGCGTAAAGGTAATGTGTATGACTGCCAAAGTTATGTTTTATATAATTCATTAAAAAAAGAAAATTAGTATTTATTTATTTATGACACATTTTGTTCAGTTTCTGATCTTTGTGATTTATAAAGACTGAAATAAGAGCATCAGTAAATGATACCAAAAATCTATTTTCTTTTACATCTAAAACCCTCAAAAACCGAAACAATCTGTCATCTCATTAATAACTTTCTGTATGTAGAGACCATCTGGATTTCATGTATATACAGATTTACAGTGATAACTCGTTCATGAGAAAACGTAAGTATTTTACTTTTTGGTGAACTGATGGTGAAGAAATATGAATTTGTATGATTTAATTCATACAAAAACATAGCTTTTAGGTAAAATAACAATAAAAAAAAAACAAAAAAACTCTTAAGCAGATTGTACAAAAAAAAAACAAGAATTAAATCATACATTAAAGCAATCATTAACCCCTGTGGGACGCTTGGCGCTCTTTTTTGTTGTTGTCCTTTTTCTCTATCAAATCTTTTAGTAATAGTGTAGTAAAACGGTAAAATTATATCACAATCCAGAGGCTTTGGCTGTATATCCTCCAGTAATGAGATGTTTAATGAATGTAACAATGTACTCTCTCATGCAGATATGCTGCCTCAATAAAGGACGGATCACAGTACTTCATCCTCCTCATCATCACAGATGGAGTGATATCAGATATGGCCCAGACAAAGGAGTCCATTGTTAATGTAGGTGTCCTGTCTACTAAACTACATTGAATGTTCATGTAGATTTTAGCTCTATAACCATGTGTAAAATAGATTAACTCAATAATCAACTTTAATCAACTTTGTGGGGTCTCTGCATTTTCACAACATAGACTGAACTTTAATAGGTTTCCTATAAGATCATAAAATGCTTATCCTATGACATTATAATAACCTAAAGGAATCATCCCCTAATTACATTTAAAATACTTATCTATGGCATCATAGGAACAAAAATGGATCTTGGAAATCATAGGACTTAAAGGCATTTCTTTTTGTGAACTGTGTGGACCATAAATATATATTTTGAAGTTAAAAATGAAGAACAAATGCACGTATGTGTGTGGTTTTAAATATATTATATTATAAATAGATATATAAACATAATACTATTTAATATATTATTATTTACATAACTAATTAAAATGTGAAAATATATAAACAAATATATTTTATATGTAAATATATGTCTGGTGTTACTAATGTAACATGCATGTTATTTCACCATAAACAAAAGTTAAATTAGCTATAACATGAGAAGAATTGAAAAAAAAAAAAAGATTTAGGTTACACTTTATTTTAAGGTGTCCTTGTTTCAGTGTAATTATACATATAAGTACTAAGCAATATTAATTAACTACATGTACTTACTATATGGTTAGGGTTAGGATTTGGGTTTGGCGTAGGGTTACTTGCATGTAATTATGCATAATTAATTGTTATTATAATAGTAAGTACATGTAACATATGTAACAAGGACACCTTAAAATAAAGTGTTACCAAGATTTATTCTATTCTATTCCATTCCATTGAGTGTTATTTGCTTTTAGACAAAACAGGTTTAAACTGAAAATCATGTTGTTGTTGTTGTTGTTGTTGTTTCGATTAGACAAAAAAATTTTTTTATAAATGACATGGTCGTCAATATGACATAGTTAATAAGTAATTAAGCTTTTCATTTTAATACACTGAGACATTGGGGGAATAAAAATAGGCATGTTAGTTTTAATATAATGAATTTTATCTGTTTTCTTTCTTTCTTTCTTTTTCTTTTTTCCTCATTCCAGGCTGCATGTCTTCCCATGTCAATTATTATTGTTGGAGTTGGACCAGCCGAGTTCGATGGTAAGAAGAGTTATTTATTTATTTATTTTGCTCTTATAGATTTCATATTGCTTATATTTTATTTTTATCCTCATTTTTGTTATAAACCCATTTTACATTTGCCATTTTATCTGCACAACACATCCCCTTTATACCCTACATGTGATGTGTGCTTTATAGTGATGCTCAGGCCTTTAACTTGAGCGGATAAAAGGATTGTGTACTAATGCAGAGTAAATGAGCATGTAATGTGACAGCCATTTCCTCGTTGCACTGACAGTAATGCCGATGGGTTTAGGAATAATGAAACGAGACTAAAATACTCAAAACACACAAAATTGCAGGCACTCAAATGCACAACTTACTCATGTTTTCATATCTCCGGTCATGCGTGTTTCTTATCTGTTGTGTGTGTCCTCAGCCATGATCGAGTTGGATGGTGATGAAGTCAGAATCTCATCGAGAGGCAGATATGCTGAGAGAGACATCGTACAGGTATAATAACACAGCTAACGTATTTCTCCTTCATCACTAATACAGAGTCGTCTCAAAAAGGACAACTATAGAGGTTATGGATATCTTGCAAGTTACATGTGTTTGTAAGTAAATGTACAGTCATTTGTTTTCTTACCACTTGCTTTAATGACACACTACTTACCAGAAAGTTTCAGAAATTTTTACTTTTTGAATCAAGCTACAAAAATGTGTGACAGTATTCATTTAATTTAACAAGCATTACTCTTCTCGTTTACACTTTTTGTGCCGTCTGTATATGTAATGCATTGTAATGTGTTATATATACAATGGTATCCTTAACGCATTATAATGTGTTCGAAATGCTTAATAATATAACTTATAATCAGTTTGTATGATCTCGTAAACACTTGTACAATAGAATTACAGCAGTCTAGTGCATTACAACACATGATAAACATAAAAAGTGATGAAATTAACCAGCCTACAATTTTGTTCTGTTTATGAATTACATTAGAGTCTGTAAGATTGAAAGTACTGCAGTACAGCAAAAGAACAACATTTATTGGAAATAGAAATATTTTGTAACATGATAAAAGTCTTTACTGACTATTTTTTTTTATAAATGTAATGCATACCAAGCATACTTGCTGAATAAAAATATTAATTTGTTTTAAAAGTAACCATACTAATCCCAGACTTTTAAGTGGTAGTGTATGTTACTGAAATGAATTGAGACAATGCAGAAAAGTTTATTTAGATTATTATAATAAACACAGAACCTTATTGTGTGTTGGTGTGGATGCTAATGTGTTGGTGTGAACGAGCCTCAAGATATGCTAAAATGCTGATGCTAAAATTTTGCTGTGAAACTTATCCAGGTCTAAAAACATACACCATATTAATTCACATACACCATATAAAACGTATCCAGGTCTAAAAACATACACCATAATTCACCATACAAGTTGGTGAATTTCCATGCAAATTATGTTCATTATCACCCATTACGATCATATATGAAACGCACATATATATTAGCATTCTGAGTTCTGATCTAGCTCTGCTTGCTTTATGCAACTAAGAACAGAGCTCTCTCAGTCTCTCTCAAAATGTAATTTCTTAATGTTTTCTGTGCTCCTCTGTGCTCCGCTCTGCTTATAGTTCTTGGCGAGGAAGTCATCATTATGTGTAGGTCGCCCCACGTTTGTTAGGAAGCATGTTAACAGGCAGTGTGCATGAATGGCTATCATAGGTGGCTAGGGAGGCTTGTCCAATTAGCTTTGCCTTCACATACACACAGATTCCACTGGATCTGGCTACTCAGCGGCCAACATGTACTTAAAAGCCCAGTTTTTCATAACTAAATGGCTGTGTAGTGCTCTCAGAAGCAGCCGTATCTCTTAGGATAATTTGGCTCTCAGTCTCAGAGCGTTTGAGTTGATTGGCATGCTGAGCATTTGATGGCTTTGCCCTCATTTTAGGTTAATTGCTCTTTTCAGCTCTACAAATTCGCACAGAAATGCAGATGAATGTGAGACCTGCTTCAGATTATTTTCGCCTGATGAAAGCCATAAAATCTACTTTTCATGGAAGTTAAATTGAATTTTGTAACATTACTCAAATTTGCTCTGTTTTTACATGTACCTCCAAAATCACAAATGTTCATATATGTGTTGTTAAATGTGTTATTAAATAGTTTTTGCCATTGTATCATGTATGTTTGTTTATGTACTGCTAATATGTGTGTTGAATTACAAGTTAGCATGCTGATGTGTAATATATTATATATAGTATGTAATATAGTATTATTATTATTATTATTATTATTTTACTTTTGACATGGGTGTTAAATTATGTTAATGTTACAATATTTGATTTTGTTATTATAAATACTTTTAGCTTACCCACTACTATATTGTTGAATTAAGAATGTAAACGCATTATAATTGTACATTCTTAACAGCAATCACTCCAAAAAAATGTAATAACGTTGTGAGACTGGGCCAATAATTCTAGTTTGCTATTTATAATTGTCATTCAAGTTAATAGCAGGTTGCTGTCTATTTATTTTTGTCTTTTTCTTAAAAGATTAGTTCACCCCAAAATGGAAATTTTCATAATTTACTCACCTTCATGTTGTTCCAAGCCTGAACAAAAGAACTTAAAGATTAAGAGCCATATTTCTTCAAAATTAAAAAAAGAAATAAAAATGAATAAATATGAAATATACCTTTTTTTTTCTTTTGCAGTTTGTTCCATTCAGAGACTACATTGATCGCACTGGGAATCACATCCTCAGCATGGCCCGCCTGGCCAAAGACGTTCTTGCTGAGATCCCAGACCAGTTCCTATCCTATATGAGGACCAGAGGAATCAAGCCGTCTCCTACTCCCCCTCCGTATACACCCCCAGGACACCCACTGCAAACTCAGATCTAAAATGGGCCCTGGAGCGAGCCTTGCAGTATCTCAGTATCGCTTTTTCTCAGCTTTCCTCAGCTCTCAGCTCTTTCTGTCCCTTTCTCTTTGCACTATGGGGGCTGTAGATGGACAACATGGTTAGACAGGGTTCTGAGAACAGGTTTACTTCCATTACAGGCATTCTCTGTCAGGATGTCTCTCAGTTTCTCTCTCTGTCTCTCAATGCCTGGCTAGCTTGTTTCTGAGGGCCGCATTGTAGAATGAACGTGTTTCTGGCTAACTGTGAAAAGAAGGATGAAGTTGTATGAAGGTAAGGAAAGACTAAAAAATGAGCCGATAATGTTGCACCCTGTCTCAGAACAGCAGAGCAGCTTCCTCTTCCTCAGACCAGGAAAAGGCTAACAAATCACCAGTCGCAAATAGACTGTTGTAAATAACTTCTGAAGTAGACTTCTTCCGTCATTTCTTATATCTTCCTCTCTTTCTTCTCTGAGCTCTCACTCAATGTTTACATGTTAATGATTTTCTTACTGTTGGATCTAACTTTTATAAGCGTATATCTTCAACATGAACTTTGCCGTGCAAATCCTCGCAGCGTGTGATCTTTGCCATGTCCGTCAGGTGGCAGGGGCTGGTGTCGTTGCGGAAAACCACATTTCTTGCATGGAAATGATGTGCTCAGGCATGCGATGCATGTTGTGCAGCGTTCATGTTATTTGGCCTTTTCTTGTTCTCTCTTTTCTCTCACTTACTTTCTCTTTCTCTTTTTTTTTTTTGCCCTGGCAAAAGCACGATAGATGGGCACCTCATCGTGTATAAAGAACCTCATAGGACTCAGCGTGCTTCATTACATTTAAATCTGAGCAGCTGCTCTCAAATAAGAGCCCAGTGGTCAAAAACACAGATACCATTATTATTTTATGTCTTGTTTTTATTATTATTATTTTATGTTTTATTTTAAAACATAGTATGGATGTTTTGTCATTTTCTCTTGATTTGGTGATGCTGTATTATCTTTTTCCAATAACATGTAGATTCATCCATCATATTTGATCATTACCTGGTAGAGTTGCCCAAAGATAGTGTCAAAAAACACAAAGCTTATTTCGAAATCCTTCTTCTTGGATTTCATTGCTAATATTTAAGTGTTGAAACCTGATAAGATGCAGAATTATACACCTAATTTAAGTTTTTGTTTTTCTAGAAGTGTTTTTGATCCCATTATTTTAGAAATGTGCTGTTAGTATAAGGAAAATAATTCTTTAAAGTCTTCAAAACTCATCTTTTCTCTCCACACCCAAATAGTTTCAAAAACTGGAACACTAGTTCAAAACATGACTGTCGTCATGTGTTTCTAGCAAATGAAGTGAATCATATTGACTTCTGGTTTATTATGATTCACTTCATTTAGCAGAGTTACTTTATTAAATTTTTTTCCATTGCAAAATACTCTCGATGTTTTTGTTCTAAAACATTCACACATAGCAAATGTGAATGTTCTAGTATGTAGCAACTCTTTTTTTCTTCTTCACACATTAGTGTAGTGAACTATTTTGGGTAACAGCCTCAGGTTGAAAGGGAACTTTCCCCGTTCAACTGCTATTCTGGAATTCAGGATTGTCATTCCAGTTGTGCTGCTTTGTCCCACATACAATATTCACGAGATATTAACACATAAAGTAGACCCAAAAAGCATTCAGACGCTTGTGCCAAATCTACTGAACCAATGTATGAATGTCATTAAAAAAAAAATCTAAGGAAGTATAATTTTAATGAAAGAAAAAGCATTTAACAAACATAATTATTTTAAATTTAAAGTGATATATTACAAGACATCAAATTTTAAAAAAATGGTTTCTGGTCATCAATTATTGATAGAACATGTACTTGTGATGTACTACAGTACACCAGTGTTTACTGGTGCAAAGTAACTTGTAACCAGATTATTTTAATATTATAATAATATTATACTAAAAATGTTTTGTTGACTGCTTTTCTTTCACTATCAACTCAACTCATTCATTTTAAATGGAATTCTTAAGTAGGCACAATTTATATTTGTCTGCAAAACTACTTTCCAGCATTTAAGCATACCACTTAAATAAAAAAAAAGTTTTTAAGATCATGATAAACACAAATTCAGTCACAGAGTAATAGCTGACGAATGTTGCATGTGTGAAAAAGCAGCACTTGACCCTGGTGGGGGGGGGTGGGGGGGGGGTTCGGTTGATGATAGTATCTCTCTTTTAGGAATGTTGGCTCTCAACATTCCTTTACTTTCCTTCAGCTCTGTTCCTCTCTGCATTGCTGGTGCCATGGCAACTGCCACTTTGGCAAGCTTATTCACCTGTGAGTATGCACCTGTGTGTGTGTGTGTGTGCGAGAGAGAGAGAGAGAGTGAGCGAGTGGATGTCAGCTCGGCAAGCATCATCAAAGTGTTTTTAAATTTGTGACTCGACACATGAAATTTGTTTACTGAAGATATCCAAATATTATATTGTATGCTGTTCATATCTAAATATCACGTGCACTATGTTTGCATGTACAGTTTTACACGAGATTCATCAGTTCTTTTGTTATTGTTAGTGTTTTGAGTAAAAAAAAAAAAATCAAACAGGAAAATAACTGTACAAATGGCCTTAATCTCTCACTGAATTCTTGGAATTGTGTGATGCCTTCAGATATGAATTGTTATATATTTTGTGTCAGTGTATAATTGCTTTCTAGTGTGTATTTTCTTTGCACAACTCATGTATGAAAAAAAATATTATATTGTAATTTCTGGAATCAGTGATTAATCAAAGAAAGCATGATTGAACTTTTGATTGTCTAGTAAATCCATATGATGAAATTATTATTTCTGTATCAAGTACTAATTTTGGAATAAACATTCTTAATATATACACATTGCTTTATGAGTCTGAAATGGCATTTGCTCATAATACAAGGGTGTTGTGGGTGGTTGCCAGGGTAATTATATGCAGTTGCTAAGGAGTTCTGATTGTAAAATGAATGTATCATGTTGTATTCATATCAGTTGCACCAATATATTATGGAACAGGTTACATGGTGAATTTTAATACTTCACCTTAGACATTTGAACAAACTCATAACCCTAATTATTAGCAAAAGTAATAGTGACACATATAGAAAGTACATTAGAGGTTCTAACCTAAAATGAAAGTCAATTGTTCATCTGGAGAATACAATCATGTAAAGTGCATGCTCTTGTAGAGCGTTTCAAATCAGTCACTTGCAGTCCCATGTATATGTCTTAAGAAAGCTCCCTATTTAATCTGCACACAACAAGGCAGCTCATTTGAATTTGGAGCAGAGTTTATGTTCCCATATTCCCTCTCTTTCCCTAACTAGAAAGCCATTAGGAATAATAACTGTTTTCCATATTGGCGTGACACTCTAATTACAGAAGGAGCACATTGGCTGGCTGGTAAGCTCCAATTATATCAGGCTGCTGAGGCGAGTGGTCCTGGAGAAGGTACAGAGGGTCAT